TGGAGAACATTGAAGAACCACCCGATTGACAACGTTATTGGTGAAATAACGCAGGGAGTTTCTACTCGTAATTCTCTTAGGAACACAATTAATCACATGGCCTTTGTTTCTCAAATTGAACCAACAACCGTTTTGGATGCTATTAATGATGAACATTGGTCTATGGCAATGCAAGAGGAGCTTAACCAATTTAAACACAATGATGTTTGGGAATTGGTGCCTAGACCTAATGATCATTCCGTTATTGGCACAAAATGGGTGTTTCGTAACAAACTCGATGAAAATGGAGAAATCACTAGAAACAAAGCTAGGCTTGTAGCTAAAGGCTACAATCAAGAAGAAGGCATTGATTATGAAGAAACTTATGCACCGGTTCACGTTTAGAAGCTATTCGCTTATTGCTTGCATTTGCATCTACGATGGACTTTAAACTTTATCAAATGGATGTTAAAAGTGCCTTCCTTAATGGTATCATTCAAGAGGAAGTGTATGTCGAACAACCCCCGGGTTTCAAAGACTATGAGTTTCCCGAACATGTCTTAAAATCAAAAAGGCGCTTTACGGTCTCAAACAAGCACCTCGTGCTTGGTATGAACGGTTAAGTAAATTTCTCTTGGACCATGAGTTCAAATGGGGTCAAGTCGATACTACTCTTTTCATCAAGAAAGATAACCAAAACATCCTTTTGGTTCAAGTTTACGTAGATGATATCATATTCGGTGCTACTAACGAGGTTTTGTGCATGGATTTTTCCAATATGATGCAAAGCGAATTTGAAATGTCGATGATGGGAGAATTAAAGTTCTTCCTTGGGCTGCAAATTAGACAACGCAAAGAAGGAACATTCGTGTGTCAAACGAAATATTGCAGGGAATTGCTTAAAAGATTCGATGTTACCGAATCCAAATCCATTGACACACCAATGAGCACCTCTTGCTATCTCGACAAGGACGAAAAAGGTAAAGAGGTAGACATCAAGCGCTACCGAGGTATGTTCGGCTCTTTACTTTATCTTACCGCGAGTAGACCGGATATCATGTACTCCGTTTGTATATGCGCTAGGTATCAATCATGTCCTAAAGAGTCGCACTTGGTTGCGATCAAAACGATAATGCGATATCTCGCAGGCACGTTGAACGTAGGTCTTTGGTATCCCAAAGGTTCAACATGTCATCTTGTTGGCTATTCCGACTCGGATTTTGCAGGTTGCAAACTCGATAGGAAAAGTACCAGCGGTACTTGCCACTTATTCGATCATTCGTTAATCTCGTGGTTTAGTAAGAAACAGGTTAGTGTTGCACTTTCCTCCACCGAAGCGGAATATGTCGCTGCGGGAAGCTGTTGTGCCCAAATTCTTTGGCTAAAACAACAACTAGTGGATTTCGGCCTTATACTTGATCACATCCCAATTAAGTGTGACAATATGAGCGCCATTAGTCTATCGAAGAACCCCGTTCTTCACTCCAGGACTAAACACATAGAAATTAGGCATCACTTCATAGGAGATCACGTCCAAAAGGGAGATGTCACAATTGAGTTTGTTGAAACGAAACATCAATTGGCCGACATTTTCACGAAACCCCTTAGTAGGGAGAGTTTCTTCCACATTCGGAACGAACTTGGCATTTTGGATATCTCTATGAACTAATTCTTTTTTTGACTACACTAATTTGAGCGTCGGAGGCGCGATAAATTCTTTTTGCAGGGCTTTTATTGTAGGTATCTCTTCCCTTGGTATTCAACCTAATTGGACTTGATATTTTTTTTTCAAACAATTTTTTAATCGATTATTTCTCAAAGAAAAATCGATTAGTCGCCTCTGTCTTTCTTAATCGATTAATCGTTTCTGTTTAATCGATTAATATGCAAAAACGTCTTTAGCGCTGATTCACCTTTTAATCGATTAATTTTGTTCAATTAATCGATTAGACTCATCTGTCCTTTTTAATCGATTAACCTTCTCTGATTAATCGATTAATATCTTGAAAAGAGACGTTTTGGTTCTGCTTCTTCTAATCAATTAATATGCTTCATTTAATCGATTTTGCCTCGGCTGTGTTCCTTAATCGATTAAATACTTTATTTTAATCGATTAATATTCGATTTTCGCCCTATATCCAGCACAGGCTTCGTCTTCTTCGCCATTCTCTGTTAAAGGATCAAAAACCCTAAACACCTTCTCCTCTTCAATCCCTCTCAATTTTCTTCCATTTTCTCACCAATCTTCTCACCAAATTCCATCAATTTCAAAGAGGAAGGATGCCAAGGTGTAAGAACGCTTCCTCGGGTCAAGAAACGGCGGGAGAGGAGAATGAGAGGCCATGGCGTCGCGAAGGAAGCAAGTATATTCACATTCAAACGGGTCTCGCCTTCAACACTGGGGCTTTAGTTGAGAGGTTCCACAACATCTTCCTCACGAAGGAGATCGTCGCTCTCAAGATCGTGAACAAGGACCTCTTCAAATCGGCGACCTATGCCCCGAGTAAGTCTATGTTCTTTCAGCAAGGATTGCTTCGGTTCATTCATTTGATGTATGAATTTTTCTGTCCAAATCTTATACGTCAATTTTATGCAAATCTTCGTACCACTAAGGGAGGTTCGCCATCTCTCATTTCCTATGTTGACGGCAAAACCGTTTTCATTGATGGTGCCGGTTTGACTTCGTTGTTTGGTCTTCGTCGCGGTGAAATTACCGAAAACTTGGATGAAACATTCCAAGATGAGGCAATTTGGCGACAACTCGGGTTGGATCATCGTGACCTCAAGTTTAGAAACTTTAGCAACCCGAGTGTCGTTAATCTCACTTTAATTCAACGCGTCCAACAATACATTTTCTCATATGTTTTGTTGCCCCGTGATTCGAACCATGGCGTCGTCAACAAGGACGATATTCGTTTGTTTCACGTCCTGTTGAACGATGTCAAATTTGATTGGGTTCACTTCTTTATCGTTGCCCTTAGCGATGGCACTCGTTTTTCTCATCTCCGGTTTGCCATCCCCATTATGCATATCCTTGCACATTGCAAAATAGGCTTTACTCGGGACACTCAGGTGCCGGTTAAGAAGACGTGTTTCATCACTGAAGCCAAGTTTTCCCGGATCATGTATCGAGAGGAGGGCGATGCTGCACCAAATCTGGACTTGGTCATCGCCGAAGAAGAAGAAGAAAGCCAAAACGAGAATCAAACTGAGTCATCTCAAGCCAGAGGGAGTCGAGCCACGGAGCGCGTCACTCGTCAGCAGAGGACTCGTCCGAGAGAAGAAGCACCGGAACCTTCTTGGGTGAAGAAGATCTTCGACACTCTCACGTGCATCCGAGATGACGTTCGCCAGCTCAACGAGAGGATGACTCGTCTTGAGCAATCTCTCTTTGATTGTTATTTTCTCTTGACTGATTATGATACATTGTTATTTGTTTTGACTCTTTTGGTGGATGATGATGATGCTAGTTGATATTAATTGCTTATGTATTAATATCATTGTTAGTTTGGCAATATTGTTCTTGTTTAGAACATATTGACCCTTTGTGGCATTTTACAAATTCTCTTTTAAAGAAAACTCTTGCCATTCTTTTCCTTCAAATCCCGGCATTGTTTAAGGGGGAAAGTTATCGGTTGATAATGCCAAAAGGGGGAAGGAAGGATAGTTGAGATTTATTTTCCGCTTATTACTCCGATAATTATTTTTTGCTGCACTTCTCTAACCTTGCAGGGGGAATCATTTAAGGGAAGTATTCTTTTCTTTG